TGCTAGCTAGGTGGTTTGCGTAACTGTCTCGAGTTTACGTTTGGTCAGCTTAAACACTCGGTCTGAAACCTGAGTGTCGGGTAGGTAGTGAAATGGGTAGTAACTTGCTCACAGAGATACTCTGAGGATGAAGGTAACATCAAGGAAAGTATTTGTAAGCTTTGAAAGTATTATTTTGTATTATTATAATTTTTAAAATAATCTACACTTACACTGAGTAAAAGAAAACCCAGTTACTGCATTGACAGCAATGATGTGAATTAAGAGCTGATAAATTAGCGAGGAGGGGACTCAACTACTCTGGCAGAACAGTCAGTGTCTACGGACAGCAATGGAGACAGTCCGTGTGTCTGACGAGCTCCTGGCTTGCTCGTGGTAGCTGTGCGGTCACCTGGTAGCCTTAGCTCTCGGCATCTTCGTGACAACCCGATGAGGTCGGCACTGGGTCCCCATCTCACAGCCGGGGCCCAGGGAGGCAAGGAAGCTCAGCGTCGGGGCGACCCGGAGCAGACCTGACCAGGCACAGCTGTGAGGCTCCCAGGAAAGCACAGCTTCACTAGATGGAATCAAAATTTGCCCTGAGTCACAAGCTGGAACCAAATTTAAATAAATATATTCTGAAAGGAAAGGGGAGAGGGAAGAAGGGAGAGAGAAAAGAAGTTAGGAGACAAGAGAGAGAATGGAAGACGATGGGGCAGGGGAGGGCGTGGGCGGACAGGACGGCCACAGAGCGAGAAGGAAGAGCACCCTGCACGTTTTTAAGCCACTTAAGAAAAGTTCTACCTTCTCAGAGATATGATAAAGCGAATGTGAATTCAGATGATTATCAGAGCCCAAAAAAAGTTTAAATCAAGTCTTGAATATCAATTTATATAGTTACCATTTGATAAGATCTACACTTTCTAAAAATCTGGAGGGAGAGATGCTGCGGGTTTTGTTTCCACTTAAATTCTACGCGATGTGTTTCTCTTCAACTTGTTAATCAGACCTTTGTCGTTTTGACAACCCTTTTTCTAAAGTCCTCCTCTGAAGTGTGAGTGAGGAATCCAGTTGGTGGACAGTCCTGGTGAGAATCCTTGCATCTGATGACCAAGAATGAAGGACCGCGCGATGCGTACAGTGGGGGATGCAGGAAAATGTTACCCCGATCACATTCGCACACAAACCCTGAACACTCGCCCCTCCCTGTTTAACACCAGAGCGACAGGCCATGATTACAGCTGCCTTCATTGTCTAGGACACAACTGTAAAGAGCTCACTTTAACAACCGAAAAGTCACCCTGTAAGGATTACAGTCGACATTATGCTGGGAATGGCCTCTCATTTTTAAAAAAATGGTTTTTTTTTAGAGCTGTTTTAGATTCACAGTGAAATTGAGAGGAAGGTACAGAAATTTCCCATCGACCTGTGGCCCCGCTCAGCCTTCCCCATGGTCAACACCCCCCCCCAGGATGGTACACTTGTTACAGTCGAGGATCCTACGCTGACGCATCAGCACCCAAAGCCCACAGTTTACACCGGGGTCACTCTCGGTGCTGTCCATTCTGTGGATTCGGACAGACGTACAGCACCGTGTGTCTGCCCCTGTAGTGCCACACAGGGTTCACTGCCCTAAAAACTCTGCTCCACAAATTCCTCCCCCCACCCCAACCCCTGGCAACCTCTAATCTTCTGACTGTCTCCATAGTTTTGCCTCTCCCAGAGTGTCCAACAGCAGAATCATACAGCATGCAGCCTTTTCAGATTGGCCCCTTTCACTTGTTCATGTGTATTTAAGACTACAGAAAGCTCATAGGACACTTAAAAAAGTTAAGAAAAAGCTTTGCCTTAAATTTTAACTGACATTCAATCTGCCTACTGCTGCGGACTGACCTGCGCCCACACCAAAGTCCTCTGCTGAGGCTCTCACCAGCATGGGACACTATTTGGAGATGGAGCTTTTAGGAGGTTACAAGGTTAACCGAGGTTATGCGGGTGGGGCCCTGATCCCATAGGATTAGTGTCCTCATGAGAGACACCAGGTTGTTTTCTCTCTCTCTCTACCAAGTGAGGACACAGGGAGAAAACAGACACCTGCAAGCCAGGAAGAAGACCTTTGCCAGAGACCTTATCAGCCAGCACCTTGGCCTTGGACACCCAGTCTCCAGAACTGTGAGGAAAGAATCTGTGCTCTTTAAAGCACCCAGTTTGTGGTATTTTGTTAAGGCCGCCTTATCTGATAAGTATGCCTACTAAAATTGAAAGGTATTTCAAAATTACAGAAATGATTTGTTATTTTTAAATAACAAAAATTAATAAAATTAAAAAATTTTGAAAGGAGGATCTTTAGGAAATGGAGCTAAATTGTCTTTAAAATATTCAAAATTAGATACAGTGAAACAAAATATTTTCAAGGATTACTCTGACACATAAGATTATTCTGCTTTATAAATTTATAAAGTTTATAAAACATGAAACATGTAGAAATCACTTATTTCTATGGGAATGATAACAACAAATGTATTACTGTCTACAACCCCAAGCTCCTCAATGTGCTCTCCCATCATTTGCACACCAGGGCGTGCGCGCGCGCACACACACATACACACACACTCACTACACCACCATTGCTGCTTTTACAGAGAAGTGATTGGTTTGTCTTTCTCCTTGTTATGTCAAGTAGTTGCTATTTGTAAGAAACAAAAAACACAGTCTACGTCATAATCACAATGATGACTAATGACAGAACAGGAAATATTCAGGAATTAACATACTGGCTGAACTTGCACTCCTGGTACATAAATCAAGACTGTAACATTCAAATCCTTGGAAAACACGATAGCGGTTATGTTTGTTAATGGTCCGTACAACACCATGACAATCTATATATGGGAATTTTAAACCAAATATTAACATTTGCATTCATAATTTTTCTTTGAATGGCAATTAGTAGGTGTCTGTCTCTGAGAAGCTGGGCTTCCAAGCACGATGTAACAAAACAGAACTAGCACATGTGCCATGACAGTGTGACTACCTGCTCGGGTTTGATGGGGCCATTCACGGTGGCATTTTCCGGAGTGCTGTCCTGAGATTGTCGCTTGCATAGACCTTTTGTTGCATCTTTGAACATAATGTCTTTTTCCAACAAACTGTCTTGCTTGGCAATTGGCAACACCAGGGGCCTGCTACAGGAAAACAATTAATACTACAGTTAGTCTTTCAACCTTGGTAATCAAAGATTACTACACCTGAACAGCTCGGTTATTGAAAGTTATTTGATTGGGGTAAGAAAGAGTCTGGACACTGCAGAGAAAAAAAAATCAGTGGGAAATCTGTAAACTTTTCTATTAGCTCTTGGTTTCATTTCACCTTTAAAAGAAAAATGTACTCATTTCAACTTGAGAAGAAAATGTTTGAGTGTATATACGATTTAACAGACAAATCAAACAGCAATTTAGATGCTAAGGTTGAAACGCAAGACTGAACTAAGCAAAGTATTTAAGTGCGAAAATGAATTGCAAATTAATGAAGCCAAAATTCTACAATTAATTAAAGTATTATTCATGTAGAATTTAAAACACATTATAGAATCATAGGCAGTAGAGTTTGTAATGAAATGATAAAAAAAGAATGACATGCTTAAGGACTGCAGTTACAAACAATAAGTTCTATTACTTCTTTACAGCTCAAAGCAAAAATAAATAAAATCTACTCAATTTTTTGTTCTACCATAAACACTGTTGCCGAAAGAGAGCCGAATTCTTAAAATGTAAGCACAATCTAAATGTTTAATTTGTATTCTAACACTTCAGTAGAATGTTTTAAATGTACTTTCCAAAATGTTATCATAAAGCAGAAATACACACACAGTTAATCAACAGCAATATATATAAACAGAATTATTTCATGTATTTTACAATAGTAGTTGTGATTCTAATTGAAGCTTAATGCATTTTGTTGGTTTTTATTTTTTTATGGAGGTATTTACAAATAGTAAGATCCATTCTGCAGATGTGTAGTTCAATGAGTTTTGTCTCTCTCTCTATATATAGATATACACACACTTACATATAGTTGGTTAAACACACACACACACACACACACACATATATAT